CGCAGCTTTCCAATCCGTTGGCGCATTTGCATAAAAAGTTGCACTAGCGTTGTTCACGTGCTGTTATGAGTGCGGCGCTTCGGCTGCAAACTTGGAATGGAACAGACTATAGTGTGACGATACCCTCACGGTGTGTCATTAATGTTGTGCCATTTTGAAGTCCCTCGTTGACTGCACGAAATAAAAAAATACCCACTACATCCCAGAAGTGTCTAAAGAAGCTGGAGGTAAAACCGTTTGATCCAGGGGATTTGCCTTTTTTCATGCTAAGTAAAGCCGAGTGAAGTTCTTGAATTGATAAGGGCTTATCCAACACATTCTTTTGTCGGTCAGTTAGCTTTTTTGTAATGCTGTTCAAAAGGTACTCTCTTGGTTTTGAAATATCAGCATTTTCAGATATTTCGATTGTAAATTATCTGAAAAATGCTGCATTATTTTTTTGTTTGTTATTAACCGATCTTGATATTTTAAACAACGTATTGAATTTCGCTCAGCGTTCCGTTTCTCAAGGGACAAAAAATATTTCGAGCACTTTTCTCCGTCTTCGTACCAGTTAACTCTTGATCTTGTTATTAATCCTTGAATTATTGGCTTTCTGATTTCCTCTAATTGTCGCTGGGCATCTTCCAGGCGTTCTAAATCCTCCTCTCTTTTCCTGGTATTGAATATATCATTAAGCTTGTTTATTTCCACTACTATCCTGCTTTCATCATCTCTTCTCTGTCTTGCTTTGCATTTAGAAAAACGTACCGTCTCTCCTCGTATCATCAACAGAAGCGTTTCGTAAAATAGGCAATCGCTGATTGTTAGTTGAATGGAGTCAAAATTTTTAGGATCTGACATAAACTCATTAGTATATAACGGTATTGCATATTGCAGGACAACGTCATTTATCAATCTCCTAACAAGCTCGTCGTAATTTTTATCCTCAAGTAGCGAGTCGTTGAACTTCCAGAGCCCTGGCCCTCTTTTCTTTTGTGGTTCCGCTATATTTACTGATACTATATTGTGGTCCGATCTGTACCCTGGTAGGACGTTAGAGGAAGTGATGTTACATATAAGGTGCTCTTGAATATATAATCTGTCTAGCCTACCGTGCTTCAGGGGCGGATCCAGGAAAACTCCAAGGGGAGGGTCATGAATCGAAGTGGTGCCCCTACCTATACCCAAAATTAAAAACTCAACGGATTTCGTCCACTTCATTTTGGTGGTGCCCCCATTTTCAGTTTTTTTCTTTTTATTTTTTATTTTTAGTCAGTATCTTAACTCTTAGCCAGTAGCCACAACCACATTTACCAATTGTAAGCAAGTATATATGAATGTGCTATGTGTAGGTATATATGTTGTGGACGCTGAGTAGTGAGTACTTACCAGGAACGTTATCAGGTAAGCAAATCGTTGTCAGTCCGACGAACTTGACCCTGGCGTCTAAAGGGTCTGTCCTTGACACTTCAGGCTTATCAGGGGCACCAAAGTCCTTCCAGGGACACCACAAACCTGTCAGGGGCACCTACGGCCTTGTAGGGGCGCCACAGGCCCGCCAGGGGCACCACAGGCCTGCCAGGAAGCAGGGGCACCACAGGTCTAGCAAGTATACACGACAGGCCTGTCAGGGGCACAACGGGCCTGTTGGGCCCATGAGCACCCCTAGGGGCAGGGGCACCACAGTCCTTCCAGGGGCACCGCAGGCCTGTGAGGGGCACCAGCGGCCTAGCAGGGGCACCAGTCAACACAGGCCTGCCAGGGGCACCAGAGGCCTGCCAGGAGCACCACCGACCTCGCAGGGGTAACTTGGGCCTGTCAGGGCCCAGGGGCACCACGGGCCTGTCGAGAGGCACTTCAGGCTTTTCAGGGGCACCATAGTCCTCTCCGGGCGCAGGGGTAGCAGGGGCACCAGAGGCCTGCCAGGGGCACTACAGGCCTAGCAAGGGCACCACTGGTCTATCAGGGGCACCACGAGCCTGTCATAGCCAGGCATCTCAGGCTTGTCAAGGCCCAGGGGCACCACAGGTCTGTGAGGGGCACCAGCGACCTAGCAGGGGAACCAGTCAACACAGGTCTGCCAGGGGCGCCACAGACCTGCCAGGGGCACCACAGACCTGCCAGGGGCACCAGAGGTCTGCCAGGGGCACCACCGGCCTCGCAGGGGCACCTTGGGCCTGTCAGGGGCACCACGAGCCTGCCGAGGGGCACTTCAGACTTTTCAGGGGCACCAGTCCTCTCCGGGCGCAGGGGTACCAGCGGCCTAGTAAGGGCACCAGGGGCCTGCCAGGGGCACCAGCGGCCTAGCAAGGGCACCAGAGGCCTGCGAGGGGCACCACAGGCCTAACAAGGGCACCACGGGCCTGTCAGGGGCACCTCAGGCTTGTCAGGGCCCAGAGACACCACAGTCCTTCCAAGGGCACCGCAAGCCTGTCAGGGGCACCAGAGGCCTGCCAGGGGCACCACAGGCCTAGCAAGGGCACCACTGGCCTGTCAGGGGCACCTCAGGCTTGTCAGGGCCCAGGGGCACCACAGTCCTTCCAGGGGCATTACAAGCCTGTCAGGGGCACCAGAGGCCTAGCAAGGGCACCACAGGCCTGCCAGGGGCACCACCGGCCTTGCAGGGGCGCCTCAGGCCTGTCAAGAGCACCACGTGCCTGCCGGGGACACTTCAGGCTTGTCAGGGGTGTTACAGTCCTGTCAGGGCCCAGGGGCACCAGGCCCGTGGTGTCCCTGCTAGGCCTGTGGTGCCCCTGGCGGTCCTGTGGTGCCCCTGTCAGGACTGTGATACCCCTGATAGGCCGGTGGTGCCCCTGGCAAGTCTTTGGGCCCCCGGGCCGCAAGGGGGGGGGCCATGACCCATGTGACCCCCCCCTTGGATCAGTGTCCCAAAATCATATTTTTGCTTGGGTGTCAGAGGGGAAAATTGCTGACCAAAAAAGGATGAGAGTGAAAAATTGTCGGTCAGGTAAGGCCCAAAAAGAGTGGGAAAATGATCAAAAATATTAATCTTTCTACAATTGTGACAGATGCAAAACAACCATTCACGCAATTGCTCCTTCTCGGTGGAATTGGGAGTGGAAAATTGGGCTTGAAAACTGGAGGTGAGAGTGGAAAATGATTTTCATTTGGATGTCGTTTCCCACCCACATCTACAAATTTTGGGACACTGCCTTGGATCCGCCCCTGCCGTGCTTAAAAGGATTTCTCCTCATCCAGGTGAAACCACCTACATGATTAGGATTCATTTGCCTCCATGTGTCTACCAGCTCATGTTGCTCAATTAGCTTTGAGAACGCTCTGTTTGCCCTTGGGTTGTTTTGTCTACTATAGTTGGAGTCAATGGTGTAATCTGAAACGAAATTAAAATCGCCGCCAACTATAAGATTCTCCGTAGGCAAATCCTCCAACCTCTTGGATAGCTGATCGAAAAAGGACGGGCGGTCATCATTCGGACCATATATGTTAACTATAGTATAAGTGTTTAGGAATATTTTACATATAAGAATTACATAATTGCCCTCATCACAGTATTCTTCATGAATGATGCTGTGCTGTATTCTATGCTTAAATATAATTGATGTCCCACGACTGTGACGGGTGCCGCACGAGTGATAACATTTACCGGGCCAAATGGTGTCAAAGTAAGGTATATTTGTTTGAATAGGATGCGTGTCTGTATTTACTGAACACAATTTGAAATTGATCATTTTTTTTCGGCAAGAAATTCTTAGCCAGACGCTGAAGTTGCCAAAACTCACGTGAGAGCTTCGATAATGAACTTTGAGCCAGCGTCCTTTTGAAAAAAAACGAACTATAACTCGGAAACCAATAGAGTTGCAGCGCCGCAGAAAAGCGCATTCGATAGCCCTTTTACAGACCTTTCCGGGTACTGTTCTTAGATTTGACCTCAGGTCAACGGTTTAGCCTCCAGAGGGCAAAAACCGTAAAAATAGCAGTTTTCACGAAAACTGTTTTCGGCAATAACTTTTGACACAAGAGTACCACGACATTACATTTGGCAGCATCGTGTTCCTCTCGTCGAGACGCGTCGAAAGAGCTATTTGTTGACCTTGAGAGGTCATTTTGAAAATTTGACCTCAGGTCAAGGTCATGACCTGACCGAAAAGGGTCATGTTGCATATCAGTGGATCTGTATCGTCGAGCTGAATACATCTGACGTGTTTTCGTCGCTCTAGCACGTCCTTATCAAAAGTTATAGCCCAAAAACTGCTGGTAACCGTTCGTGACCTGAGATGACCTCAGGGGCACACTGAGGAATCACAGGTGCATTTTTCCGATTCAGTGTGTCATTTACCTATGAACCGATGTTTGAGAGGGTTTTGAACAGAATTCGTCCAAAATAAGCTTATGCGCATTTCAATTTTCTTCCATTGACTTACCTATTTAAAGGTCGCAAAATTGACCTGACCCTAGGTCACCGATATCAAAATTCCGAGATATACTTTTGCACATACTGCTACTCCTATCAATGGCTGAAAGTTTCAAGGCGATCGTTCTGTCGGTGTAGCTATGACGAGGATTGCAACTTTTTCTGAGGTGAGGTCACTTGACGTGACCTGGTGACCTGACCTTTAGAGCCCTGTGTCTGAAATTTTCACATGTGTAGAAAAGATGCATGAACAGGTGGGCCAAAAACATCGGCGCGGAGCGCCACCGTTTTTGAGAAATCTGCGAAAAACCGCCGGGGGGGGGGGGGGGTCAGGGGTGTTCAAACACCCCCGTCCCGGCGCGGGTTAAGCGGATTTCCTTGGATTAAAGAACACCCCTTTAATTTAAAATGATATTAGTTTTGTTTTCCTGTGTATAATTATAAATCAAATATCAAAATACCGGAAATATACAGAAATTGAGCCCACATAAGTGCAGAGAGAAAATACATTATATGACTAGTTAAGTAATTAGTTTGTGTGTTCTTTGTCAATTTGTTTGTCTCTCTGACGCTTTTGATTCGTTTATGGCGCAGAGTTTCAGGCGCGCTCTCTCTGGCCCTCTGCTGTGTGGCCTTGCACGGTTTACATTGATATTGATGTTTATTATTTGCGTTCTGAATTGATTGGGCAGTGCTTTATTTTGATTGCTTTTTTCGTGTGATATCGTTGCATTTTGGGAAGTCGATTTGGAACTTTGGGAGCAATGGCGACTGCATCGCGTTCTACCGTGTCGGCCTGGAAACGTGACGTCGATGACAATACTGTGGAATATTTCATTTTTCCTGAACTTTCCTCCTGTTCGACCAGGGCTGAGGCTCATGAGCGACTGAAAGACTTCAAAGATAAATGCATGAGTACTGTGCAGAGTGATCTTGAGGCATACATCTGGCAGAATGAGCCATTTGCCCTTCATGTTCCTCCTGAATCTGGCTTCCAGCTGGTGCCTAGTGGCAAAGCTTGCTCAAGTGCAGAAAGTGGAAAAGGTATGAATGATGGCGAACAACCTTCTTTAGCTTAATCCAACTGTTTTTTATGCTATGAATTATAAACCATGCTTGAAACTACGCACTGTCCAACCTAAAATAGCCCATAATGCGTCAATACTATTAGAGTTGCTGCTGTCACTTACGGATTCAAAAGAGTTGTCATTAATTTTTGTATGCCATTAATAATCTGTACTTAAGCACCACCACTATCATCATCATCCCTCTCAGAAAAATTGTTCTATCCAGCTTTGAAGGGTAGGTACCTACTATGGATGTCAAACCCCTTGAGACCCCACTTTTTTGCGATAATTTTTAAATGCGTCAACTCTCGTTGACAGTATTCTGGCAATGTGTATTTCAGAACCTGCCGAAACTTTTATTACTAAGGTATTTTGACGCCAAACGATTATTAAAGGTACTTCTCATTCACTCGTAATGTTAAATTTCACGGAACGAATCTGCTGTTTGGGTAGAGGCTACGCGCTCAAGGGGCGGAGCCACGTAATGACGTCAGCGCTAAGCTCCGCCCTACCCCTCCGGCGCTCCTTGCCCGGCGACCGGTCACTCACGTCTCTCGCTCCATTCAGGCTTGATGGTGGGCGGTAGCTGGTAGCGGTAGCGGGCGCTGGTAGATGGCATTTAGAGCAGATGGCGCTGGTGGCGGGGCTCGAGTGTGGCCGAGCGCAAGCCTCTGCCCGGGCCTGAATTGACCTTAACATTACGAGTGAATGAGAAGTACCTTCCATAATCGTTTGGCGTCAAAGTACCTTAGTAATAAAAGTTTCGGCAGGTTCTGAAACATACATTGCCAGAATATTGTCAACGAAAGTTGACGCATTTAAAAATTATCGCAAAAAAGTGGGGTCTCAAGGGGTTTGACGTTCATAGTAGGTAGGTACCTTCAATGGAAAGAATTCATTCATTGTCTGATGCAGGTACTGTTTTCTTATCCCAGCAGCAAATAATTGATCACATCCATCTTTTCCACTCCACAGATGTGCTTCCTCCATTCCTGTGGGGTCGGACCTGCTACGCAGACTGTGTGGACGACGAGTGGTTCATAGTGTACCTGGTGACCCGGCTGACGAGGGAGTTTCCCGGCGCTGTGGGCAGGTGAGTCCCAATGCCAGATCATTGGGTTTTAGATAAGAGACTGTGTTTGATTCATATGCATGCTCAGCAATGATGTATGGTGATGGTGTAGGCCCAGGGCTGCGGAGTCGGAGTCGGAGTCGGAGTTGGTCGGAGTCGACAGTTGTGACCGGAGTCGGAGTCGGAGTCGGAGTCGAGTTTAGAAACCCGAGCCGGAGTCGGAGTCGGAGTCACCGAAAATCTGTCAACTCCGCAGCCCTGCTAGGTCTGCGGAGTCGGAGTCGGGAGTTGGAGTCGGTCGGAGTCGACAATTCTGCCCGGAGTCGGAGTCGGAGCTGGTTTTTGAAAGCCGGAGTCAGAGTCGGAGTCGGAGTCGCCGAAAATCCATCGACTCCGCAGCCCTGGGTGTAGCAGAAGTTGCAGTACTTACAGCTACAATTACAACAATTTATATTTATCCAATGCCCATGGCCATCTGCTATCCACTGACCCAACAATTCTGCCAATGAATAACTTCAGCAAATAAATGGGATGAGAAAATGTTGGTATGACTTGTAGCAGTGCTTGTCTCCAATGTTTGCCCCTTTCAATAGATGATTAATTGGTACCTATCTACCCAACGCAAAGCATTTGCAGGTATTTTGTGACGTTCAACCCTCTAAACTTCTTCTCTCAGCACTTGTTTTTCTGTTCAATTTTCTGGTCTTGCAGTTTGCTTTGTTATCTGACTGATCATACCATATAGGTAGTGGATATAGGCAATTATGGAGCAGGGAGAATCATTCCCTTTAAACAGGCCAGATTTAATTTTATTTTCTTGTCAGTAAGAACAGTTGCAGCTGTTTAAAGCATTCACCTATTTAGTTATACATAGTTCAAATCTTGAGGAGTCAATAGAAACAGTGTCTCCCGACTAGACACAGCATATTTCCACTGGTACAATATCAAAACATCAAGGATCCTACAGTTCAACAGTTTTGGGGCTAAAACATTAGTCTGAGTGACAAGCCATGCTATTTTTTTTGGAATAGAATTAGCTTTAGCACACATATGCAGTGCACATCTCCAATTATGCAATGTTGTAAAATGTTTAGAGTGATATGTTTTTGCCAAGCATTGCTGCAACAGTTTGCGTGCTTCAGAGTCTAGGTGTACTGGCGCTCGTACCTACTGTCTGTAGCCCACTGTTAAGTGCACTGTTACTCGTGCTGTCTGTAAGTGTACTTTCGTCTGTACCGTATGTGGGCTTACTGTTCGTAGGTTCACTATCAGTTGTACTGTCAGTAGGCATAGGCGGCGGAACGATTTGAGACAAGGGGGGGGGGGGCACCAGCTCAAGGAGCCAAACCTAGGGTACCCCCAAATCCTGTTTTTTTTCATCGGATTTAGGCCACTTATTTTTCGTCACAGCCCTGACACGATGATTTTTTTTCTATTTTTTTTTTTTACTAAACGAAAATGGCAGAACACTCCCGTATGTGTGGTTAACTTGAAGCTGATCCTCAAGTACCTATGTGTTTGTCTCTTTCTTATTCTCGTTTGATAAATTCCATTAACCCTCGCCCGACGAGGGGGGTTGATGCAACCCCCCCAAAGTTTTTCGCAAATAACGTAAAAACGGCGGCGCTACGCCAAATTTGGCATACCTTCTGGGGCAACATTTTCGCACCTTTCCTTAAAATTTGAAGTCCCAGTCATTTCAGGTCAGGTCACCAGGTCACAAAAACCGGTACAAGGTCAGGGTAAAATTGGACTAGCTTAGCGGCAACTGAATTCCAAAGTTCACTAAAATTGGTAACAAAGTATACCATTCGATGCGCACTGACGTCCTGAGTTCACTGGTGCTTTTATTTTTGCTCTATCTTTGCTAGGTAAAAAGTTATAAGCGAAAAATTTTTAACATGTTTAAGCAAAATTTTTGCATTCATACCCCCAAAACCCCCTAAATATTGACTTAGAGTCACCAAACTTTCCTAGGGGCGAGATCTCCCATGGACCCACCTACCCTGTAAATTTGTCGTTTCTAAGTGCCATAGGAGCCAATCGCAAGGGGGGTCGTACCAACCCTCCCCCCTCGCCGTCCGTGTTATGGAAAAGGCCCTCGCCTGGCGAGGGTTAATCCTACATGTATCAAATTACCAAGAAGCCATTGCAGTACTAATCAGTGGCGAATCCCAGGGGGGAGGTCACATGGGTCATGACTTTGGGCCTGGGGTCACCACATGCCTGCCAGGACCACCACAGGCCTGACAGCCGACAGGGGCACCACAGGCCCGCCAGGGGTACCACAGGCCTAGCAGGGGCACCACGGGCCTGTCAGTGGCACCACAGGCCTGTCAGGAGCACCATCGGCCTAGCAAAAGCACTACAGGTCTTCCAGGGGCACCACAGACCTGCCAGGGGCACCAGAGGCCTGCCAGGGGTACTATCGGTTTCGCAGGGGAACCACCAGTCTCGCAAGGGCACCATGGGCCTGTCAAGGGCACCACAAGCCTGTCGTTGGCACTTTAGGATTGTCAGGGGCACCACAAACCTGTTAAGGGCACCTGCGTTCTAACAGGGGCACCACAGGCTCGCCAGGGGCACCACAGACCTGCCAAGGCCCAGGGACACCACAGGCCTAGCAAGGACACCACAGGCCTGTCAGGGGCACCACGGGCCTGTTAGGACCCATGGCACCCAGGGCCCACCGTGGGCTTGTCAGGGGGCAGGGTAGGTAGGTACCACAATCTTTCCAGGGGCACCAGCGGCCTAGCAGAGGCACCAGTCATCACACGACTAACCAAAAATAAAGAAAATAGAAAACTGAAAATAGGGCACCACCAAAATTAAGTGGCCGAAATCCGTTGAGGTTTTCATTTTGGGTATAGGTAGGGGCACCACTTCGATTCATGACCCTTCCCTTGGAGTTTTCCCGAATCTGCTCCTGGTACTAATACATCAAATTTAAGGGGGGGGGCACCTTGCTATTGGTGCCCCCCTTGCAGAATTCAAGGGGGGGCACGGTGCCCCGGTGCCCCCCCCCCCGTTCCGCCGCCTATGTCAGTAGGTGCACCACTGTTGCTTGTACTGTTGGTAGATGCAATGTCGGCTTGTGCTGTTGGTAGGTGCAATGTCGTTTTTAGCGTGTCGGTAGAGGTGTACTGTTGTTGGTACTGTTGGTAGGTGCAATGTCGCTTGTATCGTTTCGAGTAGAGGTGTACTGCTGCTTGTACCATTTCGGGTAGAGGTGTACTGCTGTTTGCACCGTTTCGGCTAAAGGTGTGCTGTCGATCGTACCCGCGATAGGTGGCGACATCTGGAAAAACGATCCTACCGCCATCTGTCAAGAGAAGTTGATTCCTTCTTTATTATAGTCGACACTCGGCCGTCGCCATTTGACACCTTTGGCCTTTTATATATTTTTTCGCTCTTTGGAGGATGAAATTTGGATGAAGACCTTTTCAAATCACGGTAAACAGCGATGCCATTCCTTGGGATTTGTCCCAAGATCTTGGGATTTGAACATTAACATTGGGATCTTGTGATTTGCACTGCATATCTTGGGATCTGGCAGAAGCTGATTTCACTTTGTCTTCTCATGCTGTCAAATGCTTTTTCCTTGGTCGATAATAAATTTAGGATGGATTTGCCTCACGGACGGTTAATAGCATTCAAACATATTGAAGTAACGGACGAAGCTTGCGATGTTTCTTGCAGGCATTCTTTTCCCGAGATCACAGGATTATTTTTGTACCATTACTTGTGGGTATAGTAGCAGCTTTCAGTCGCTGTTCGCAACTGGCGCTCATTTGTTTAATTTCCAACTCTACCGATCAACAGGGATGGGTGGTTTGGCGGCATGATGTTGGGTGGCTATGAAAAGCTTTTACAAACATTATGCCTAAACAATATTTCAGAAAGCTGCCCCCGCACAAAGCGCTTCATTTTACGGTTTTGCTCTATGGAGGCTTATCCGTTGACCGCGAACCACAATAAGGGCAATTTGTCTTTGACCTCGGAAGAGTGTCTGGTCACCTGACCCCTGGGCTCTGCTGGACCAAAAATAATCAAAGCGTAGCCTTGCGACCTTCACAACACTGCTGACGTCTTGTAGCTATATAGTCCAGGGGACGAGTTAGGTCCTCGTTTAGACCCCCTCGCCATCGTCAGCTTGAAAATCTATGGGCCCCAGCGGGCACTGGCTTACACGCAGATTCACAGCATAGGCTTTTCGATTTCGGGATTCACGTAAGCTTTTAAGAGCTTACTTTGGAGCCCATATTTCAAAACTGTCAGTGGTGAAAAACACTTTAAAACAGCCTGACCTCACCTGACCCTAGCTTCTCCAAATGTGTCACGAGACAAATTTCGAAATAAATCCAAAATGCCACAGACTTCGTTTCCAAGAAGTTCTAACAGATTCGGACCTTGTGTTTTGGGTCCCTGACCCACCATTGACGGTCGACGAATGACCTAACCATAGAATCAGATACCACCGGCTTCATGTTGTCTAGGCCAGCATCTTCATTTTTCGTGAAGCTCTTATACTCGGTCAGGAACATCAGCTGTAGGAGTCCGATCGACCCCCTCCCCCTCCCCCGGCCTCTAGGTACATTAGCTGCTGTAAAGACGCCAATAAGGACAAGGGTGGACCCGAGGAAGAGAAAGCTGTATACTAAACACACTAATATGTCCAAAATAAGCTATGGATTTACTTATGGTACTCCTAAGGATATGCGATGGGTAGTCTTGGGATTCGAGACGAGAATCTTGGGAAATTCTGGTCTAGATCTTGGGATGGAGCAAAAATGTGGATGGCATCACTGACGGTAAATCTTTATTTTTGCAAAGGCAGCCGCCAAATACCCACGAGAAAGCTTTCTCCGAGATGGTGCGATGTGCTGCGCTCGAAGGCTAGTTGACAATTCTCACCGCTAGGTGGCAGGAGATGTAAACGCCTGAAGCTATACTGACCCGCCGTGCCCGTGACCATGTAAAACAGATCAGCACCCGTGCAGTCGATATGTTTATGATCTTCA